CTACCTGAATGCATTGATAGACGATGCAGCCTCCTTGTCTTCCTTCTTATCCTTTCCAGCAGGCGGAGTGCCCGTCCGGCTGCTAGCTCCGCTGTCCTCACCGCCGCGCACCAAGTTGCCACCAGGGCCTAGGTTCTTGCGACCGCTGCTGCTGCGAGAGCCAAACATGCTGGACGGCCCAAACGACGGGGGCTGGTTCGAGCTTCGCGCCGTCTTGAGTCGCCGGAGGTCGTCACTTCCGACCTTGCTGGACGCATAGTCCTGAGGAGGTTGCTGATTCCGGAAATCGCCGGAGAAATTGCGCGCATCTCCACGGCCAAGAGGCGGTCGACTGCTCCTGTTGGCCTGCTGGCGGAGACGCTCCATCTCAGCCTCTTGCTGCTGACGGGCAGCCTACAAACAAGTCAGTGAGACCGTACAGGAATAAAAAACGTCCGTAATCTGCGTACCTCTTCACGGATCTCGCTAAGTGTCTTGGGACCTTTGTCGCTGTCCTTGGACACCCAGCGCGCTGCTCGCAAGTCGACCACATCCTAGAAATAAGTGTAAGTATTATCGTCTCTCTTATCATCTCTCAAATAAATAGAGTATTAACATACCATGAGCATGAACTTGAGTCGGCTGGGCAAGCCCGCTGTCTCAATCATCATGTTGATGCGGACAAAGTATGCGTCCATCATCGCGTGACCCTTCTCCGACGCATCCAAGCTGGCACCAATAGTGCGGAGCAGGCTCGTCAGACTCTCCACCTCGGCTTCGTCAGGAACGCCCTCGTAGTCGACCAGCTTCTTGACACATTCGTGCATGATACGCTCCGTCAGCATGCCCAGCTTGTACAGTTCACCAATGAACTTGACCAGACCCAGACCACGACGCTTGGCAGCGGCAGCGGCGTAATACTCGTCCGACATCATGGCCGCTTCTTCCGTCGCGCCCTCGGGCTTGGGAGGAAGGTTCACCTTCCAGCCGCGTTCGAACTCCTCCTGGCAACGGTTGAGCAGGTACTTGCGGAACAGGCTGCCACCCGCAACCACGTTGCCGTTCTTGTCACGAATGCTCTCGTCCCTGATTTCAGGGCTTATGCTCTCAAGCATACGCTTGCAGAACTTGGCGTACATGGGAGCCCAGTGCGCTTCGTCCGTCGCTTTCTCGAACGTGAGCTGGATGACCTGCCGCAGGGTCCGCCCGTCGGTCTCATCCTTGGATTGGGAAACGATGTCGAGGATCTGTTGCGTGATACGGTCGAAGTTATCCGGCGTCATCTTGTTGAGGTTGGCCTTAACTTTGCGCTGCACCATTTCTGGGGTGAGACGATCACCGCCCGGAGTAGGACCGGCGGCAGCTTGGCCGACACTGCGAGGCTTCCAGCCAGTGGCAGAGATTGTCAATGGCTTAACGTCCTTGTTGGCAGTGAGCGGCATCGCCTTGTTGCTCTCCTCTTCCTTCTTCTGAGCCTGTTTATCAGCACGCTTGCTGCCCTGCCGGGTGCCAGCGCGGCTGCCAGAAGGACGGGGAGACTGAGGCGCGTTGGAATGCAAGGCAGCTGATGAGCCGGTTCGGCTGAGCGAAGGGGTGCTCATGCCACCAGGACGGCCAAACTGGCCAAACGGGTTGGTTCCCATGGACCCGGGGCGGCCGACATTGGACATGGCAAAACGCTGCTCGGAAGTGGTGCCAGGAGGCAGGCTCTGGCGGTTGGTTCCCTGACCAAATGTGCCCATCTGGAAGTTCTGCGGAATGCCCGGCCGGGAAGTGTTGCGCGAACCGAGCATGGGCGTGCGGGCCGACTGGGGGCGCGCGGAATCGCCGCTCTCGCCCACGGTCTCGCGCACACGAGTATCCCAATCCAGAGACGGCTTCTCCTTGAAGACGTTCTGGAATTGGAGCAAGAACTCCTTGTTGTAATGGAATTTGCGGTCGGGAGGAGCATTCGCGTTCAGAGCCGGGTTGGGAGAAACGATGGAAGGAGGGTACTTGACCTTGGACAGGTCGTCGATGAATCGCGCGCTCTGGAGGGATTTCATAGCGGCGCTTGGCTGTGGAGGCTCAACCGGCTTGGTCGTCTCCAGCTTGAGAGCAGCAGGCTTTTCGCGCTTCGCCGCGCCGGACGGCTTCGAGGGAGGACCCATCGAGGCGTCGGAGGCAGGCGTCGCTGCACCGCTGTCACCAGGGCTAGGGGAAGCCGCCCTCTCCGTGGCGGGGAAACCACCTTTCCGGAGAGATTGGAAGAGCTCCAGGTTTTCTCTCCTTCGAGCCTCATCCTCTTCGGTCTCGAGTTTCTTCAGACGAGCCTCTTCGG